AATAATATTTTTTGCATATTTTTGAACACGTTCTCTTTCTCTCTTTCTAAGATAATTCTTTTCTTTTTATTTTGTTTTAACGTCGCACGTTATCGTTTTCTTGTTTTTTGTTTTTCAATCAATTACTAAGTTTTCCTGTGAAAGTACCTCAGTAAAGAACAATTAATTATATAAGAAGTAAACTCTCTCTTATAAAGACAAGTATTCCCGTTTGTTAAAGACGCTAAGATCGACGATATCACATTATGAAAATCACTTATGTGTATATTAAGTGAAAACATTGTTAAATTTTCAAGACATATATCAAAGCTTTCGAACGGAATGAATTTAATCGTGTTCCCGCAGCTCTCTATTGAAGAAGCGTATTATGCTATATATCTAGAAATGGAATACGTGTTAAATTAATTCCGTGGCCGTCTAGGATAAATTGGCGAGATATAATTTTCTTCAGATCAATGCCAGAGATCTGACATGATCTATAAAAACAAAAACGCATGCTTCTACTTTTACAACAAAAGAGACGAACTGTATCGGAAAAGCGCTCGCACTTTTCAGAAATAAGTATATATTTGCCTCGATGTTGGTGTAATATCAAACGAGACAACTTCTCGAAGAATCCGAACAAGTCGCAAGATGTTACATGAAAAAGTATACAATAAAAAGACAAAATCAAGATACACACACAAAGATATTTATTATTAAGCAAAACATCTCGACGTAATTGCGACGTAAGAAAAGAATTATAATGCGTTGTTCGGGTTCTCGAAACGGAATTTCTCTTCGTCTCTCTCTCTCTCTCTCTCGCGCGCGCACGGAAATCTTAAGATAAATCAATACTTTGAAAGCGAAACAATCCGATCTGTCGCGGCGCTTCGCCGAACGTCGGTTATTCCGTTTCCGATAGATATACCGGAGTCAGATGCCGATGGCACGGATTTTCCGTTACGGAAAGGAAAGGAGACAAGACTGCATTTTATCATCACTCTTGCAAATGTATGTCTATACACACATACACATTCTATACTTTGCATGTAAGTAATGCCTATTTTCCAAAGTTACGAAACCATATAGGTACGTTATGAGACACACTTTTACAATCATTAAATTACGCGGGCGACTCTTACGACTCTTGCTAGTTACGACCGACGTTCTCTCCCTTTTCTTCTCTTGCGCTAAATCACTCAAGATTGCTCGATATTCACTCACGTTTCTATGATTTCTTGACCATGCATCATCCTATTACTCATTCTTGTAGATTTTGTACTTTGGACGCGTGCTTGCATCAAGGCATTATAGAAACTGGCATTGCCATCGAAAATCGCACATCTTCTTTGAGATTTTACGATCGAAGATGTGCATACACGATTTTCTATAACTATAATTTCACTTCGAGGAAGTCAAATTTCGATTTTTTTACGTTTAAAGCGCTACGTATAAAAAGTAAGTGTTTTATCGAAAATGGCGTATGCACACGCGCAAATGTGTGATTTTACGAAACGTAAACAAATAAGAAACGCGAAGAGCACGCCAATCGTAAGAAAACTAAGAATTATGCTGCTCGTACTACATCAAAAATATATTTGCCTCAAATAATTTTTCAAGGACCGATCGCATCTACAGCCGTGCGATTAACTAACTCCGATGAGAGAATTTATTTCTCTTTCAAGACACGGTTCTGATTACAATGTAAATTCACTCATCTGAAGTTAGGATTGACGGATGCCGGCGAAATCGGCTGTAAGAGAATCCTTACTAAGTTTCTAACTTCGTATTTAGTATGACGGATCAAAAAGATGTATATCACGATCCGTGAATGCGACAGCTGATGACTGGATCGAGAGAACTCACAAGTCATCGGTTTTCTCGGTCGAACCATCGTGCTGTTCGACGCGTTTCGCGTGTAGCTCTTTATTTCGCGATGTTACACTTTTTCATTTAGTATAAAAGTCTCATCCGGTTACACATTCAATAGGTACATAGGCAAATTCGAAATCCAATACACACATTCTCGACTCTACTCTTAAACTTGACATGCGTATTTTAATGTGGAATTCTTATATGATTAATCCTTACACGCGTATTAATATGTGATGCTTATGAGTTTATGAGCTACCTATACTAAAGGAAAAACATACACCACTGAAAGATTACTTCTTTATACTCGCGATCACGCGTTTATCAGTTATACTTGGATCGCCGCAAAAGCTACTTTTTCTTGCACTGTGCATACGCTTAGTGGAGATGTAATGTTTCGCGGTCAATAGATGCAAAAGTCGAACGCGTCTCTCTCATTTTATATTTCTGACAATAAAAATTCTCATACGTTTCTGCTACACTCTTTTTTTCTTGTTTTTTTTTTTTCGTTTTGTTATTACACACATAATCGTTCCTTTACACGCACTCAATCATTACACCACCACCCCATATACAAATAGTGAAGCATATTAAAATCATAGCATAAGCTAAATATTATGTAAATATTGGAAAACTTCCACTAATTCTATGCAAAGTATAGCTTGTAGAATATCATTCATTAAAACTAATACTTATATAATAACCGTGAGATACCTAGTATCTTTTTTCTTCTTTATTCAAGAAAATTCATTCTTTTTTTTTTAGATCTCTTAGAGAAGCGTCAGCATACGCTCAAATAGTTCTCCAAATAGCTTTTTTCCATCATACATGGGATTTAAATCGATCAAAACGAAACGCCGTTTGGATCATAGCAGTCGTAAATGTAGATACAAACTGATAAAGTTACAGCGTGTCTTTATATATATCGCCCCTCTCAAAAGATTCACGCTATATTTTAGATTACATTGTAAAATTATAGTTGAGCTTAACTTTTACTATGCCCTGCCGTGTCACATCGAATGACGGAAACAAGTCGAAATCGTTGGTTTTGCTTTTCTCTAGTGTAGTGTAGAAAGCGCATCGTTTCAAATACTTCTGTCAATTGTGAAACCTATTTCCGCATATTTGTGTAAATTTGCCACCTTCTCGTTTAAACGTTCGTATAATTATGTGACTCTAAAATTCAGATTGGCTAAAATTTATTTCAAATTGGATCATGAATTGAAATAACTTTCACCATATCTTTCGTATGATGCAATTGGATATGAGTAATACGGCAAATTTCACAAATACGCGCACTTGCTTGACACCGATAAATATCTTCATTATTCTCTTGTATCGCATCAAATTGTCTTACGCAGAGCGATAAATAACTTTTATCTCAGAATCTCCTAAGTTCTTTTTTTTAGCATTTCTATGGATTTTGTAATATACACAGGTATAAAGTAAAAAAACATATATGTATATATGTGTGTATATATATGTGTGTATATATATGTGTATATATATATATATATATATATATATATATATATATATATATATATTGTATAAAGAAATAAGAGAAACTTGATAAATGTTCTGTGAAATTTCTATATAACTTTACATTATAAAGAGATAAGATCTGATGGATTTACTTGTTGAATCGAGGTGGTCTTCTCAACGCACGTGGTATCAGCTCCGTCCTTACAGCTCTAGCGTAATTTGACGCGGCATATTGATCGGCCACTGCTATTGGACTTTGTATGAACATGGACGAGTCCTGTATCTGACCTACGCTCGCTGCTGCTGCCTGATATTGATACTGACTGTTAGTCATATCAGCGGTTGGGTAGTGATTCGGTTGGACGAATTGTGGCGGATTCTCATATTGTGGATAGGGGATAGAATTCTCCGCGGAGAACTGCGGTATCACTGGATTTACATTAACCGGCGTAGTGGCAAAGCTACCAGGATCATAAGTCTGATACTGATGATTCAACTGGCCAATTTGCGTGTTAAACGGAGGTGATTGCGGAAACTGCGCCGCGGTGTCAGAAAACAGCACGCTTGCGATCGTTGGCTGTGGGAAGGAATCCGGATAAGGCGAGATATTAGCTGTTACCGCATTGCTAAGATTGTTGAGATTCTGCACGTTCGGTATACCGGCAGCAATTGGCGAAGTACCGTAACCATGAAATGTGGCCTGTGAATGACCAGTGTGATCAGGAAGTTCCTTTATATTGCCGCTCTGCAGCGAGTTCATTGTATTGAGCTTGGATTTGACGCCGCCACCACCTGTTGGCCCACCAACGACCTTCTCATTCACATATTTAGCACGCGCATCCGTTAGCAATGGATGCCGCACGTTCACAATGCTCTGTGGCGCACGCAATGGCGGGAAGTTAATCGGCGCCATCTTTGGCATCGAATTTTGTTGCTGCTCCAATGCCTTGCGCGCGACTGCGAACGCAACGTTGCTGTCGCTCTTCTGAGAACCAGTAATATTAGATTGCATGTACGTACTGGATGGCGTATGGTTTTTTTCCCGATAGAAAACTGACGTCGTGATCGTCGATTGCTGCGCTGAGAATCTTAACGGCATACCAGTAGTCATACTGCTACCGCTGTTCCTGCTCTTGTAATCTGAACTGTTCACAGATATCAGCTCTTTGTAGTCCAATTTGACCGGATAAGTCTTGATGCTAGACCCAGTTTCACTGGTAAATTTCTTTGAAGCGTAATCCTTTGAATGCTTCGTCAAATTTTCGTGTACAGTGTTAGTTACACAGGTGCTCGCAGATCGCACATTGCTGAACGTAGAATTGTTACTGGACTGCTTAACATTCACGATTGAGCTATTTTTTGTCGTATTGACTACTTCGCTCACACCGTTACCGTCATTTTTTTTTATAGACGAGTTAATTTTGCCGCCAGTAAGTGAATTTCCATACGTTGCGATGTGTAAAGCAGAATTCTTGTTAATTATTACGGTGCGCGATGTCCTAGTCGACATTTTGGACGATTTACTCTTATTTCCCATGTGATCTGCTTTTTCGGTTTTCCCTTTATCAGAAATCTGGTTATTAGTTGATATTTTGGTGTCTGCATTAGTGTTCTGATTTTTAGATGCCAAATTATTTTGGGGCTTGCAGTTGACGGTGACATCTGGCAGGAGCAAAGCGCTGGCTCACTTCTTGGTCATGATTTTGAGATATTCCAGGGCATTCTGAGCAGCACTGGCTTGAGCATCTTTACTGGTCACACCGCAACCATAGCAAACTGCCACTGGCAGGGTAGACAGTTGCACAAGGCACTGGAATTTACCTATAAAAAATATATCTTTTTGTCTCATAAAAAAAATTATATTGTTTTGATATATCTCAAATATTAAATGTAAAAAAACAAAGAAAAAGAAAAAAAAATCTAAATCGATTAATAACATAATAAATTTTGTTCCCTCAACTGAAAGAAAAGTTTCCTAAACAAATTTAATAAGAAAATGTATAAAAAATTTGTGGATTTTTTAAATATACCAATTTAAAATGTACTAATCATTTTTAAATATACAATTTTGAGAATTTCTCTAGCCTTTCAAGTATTTTTAACAATTTTCTTTTACTTTTTTTTTATACAGGGTGTCTGACAACGAACTATAAAGCCGACGTGTGTAAGTAGATCGGGTCATTCTGAACAGAAAAGTTATATACGATTTTGCAAAATTCGCAATATTTATTGAGATATGAATTAATAAATGTGAACCAATGAAGGCGCGGGGAGCGATGATCGGACTCTATAGGCGTGCACGATTATCAGATGAAAAGAAAAATGGCTTCTCTCATGTAATGTCTTAGTAACGAGAGGCGGAATGAACAAACAAGCGCGGAACGACTCAGTTTCTTGCAATCGGGCGCTATTCAGCGGTACGCAGCGAGCAGCGGCGAGCGAGGAGTAGAGCTGATAATTTTGCACGCCTATAGAGTCCGATCATCGCTCCCCGCGCCTTCATTGGTTCACATTTATTAATTCATATCTCAATAAATATTGCGAATTTTGCAAAATGGTATATAACTTTTCTGTTCAGAATAACTCGATCTACCTACACACGTCGGCTTTATAGTTCGTTGTCAGACACCCTGTATAAAGAACAGATTTAATAAACCGATCAATTTTTATAAAAATTTTGCCATACTTTACAAGTTGATTAAAAGTTAAATAGATATTAAATAGATATTAAAAGTCAAATTTTTTACATAAATGTTACATACATGTATATATGATATCATATCGCATGTCACATATACATTTTGCGCAATAATGTGATACTTAGTTATTATGATGCTCAAGTCATGTAAAAAATTTAAACATGTAGTAGTAATGTTTTTGTAACTCGAGATGCAATCTGCAAGCACAGTGATCTACACTCAGTAGTCAGCAATATGGCAACTTTAACATTAGCTAAAGCAGCTTTAAGAACAAAAATCAAAAATATTCTCAAAAATATCAGCACAGAAGAAAAAGCGGAGCAATCTGCAAATGTCTTTAAAAAGGTGAATAAGAATCAAATATAAATCAACTCTCAGTAATTTAGAATAATAAGATTGATAAAGGTTATGTTTTGATAAAAAGTAGCATGAGTTGCAATTGCAATTTATACAAATGTGTACTAATAAAATTGAGTTATCATTGTATTATTTTTGTAGTTGTGCGCATTACACGAATATCGATGCAGCATAAGAGTTTCGATATATTTGAGTACAAAAGATGAAATTGATACTATGTCCATTTTACAACACATGTTTGAAACGGGGAAGGAAGTTTTTGTACCACAGTATCATGGAAACAATATGGAAATGGTACATTTGAAATCAATGGAAGATTACAAGACATTACCATTAACGAAATGGAATATAAAACAACCCAACCGAACTGAATATCGTAAAAACGCATTAGAAACAGGTAAGCTAGAGAATATAATAAACTTATAATAAAAATATAATCTCTCTCTCCCTCTCTCTTTTTCTCTCTAATTGTGTTTATTTCTAAATTTTTATTATTTATTCATTCAAATTTTTTGAATCTTATTATAGGCGGATTAGATTTAATAATTTTACCAGGTGTTGCTTTCACTAAAACTGGTGAGTCGTGCTAAATAAATACATATAATAACATATACATAGTAGTTACTCTTCTTAAACTTGGAAAAATTATAATTTTTTTTTATTACTAAAACAATATTATATAAGTATAAATAAATAACTATATATTATTAGGAAAACGTTTGGGACATGGTATGGGATATTACGACAAATATCTAAAAAGGTGTTTCCAAAATCAAAAAACAAAGCCGTATTTAATCGCTTTAGGATTCAAAGAACAGATACAAGATGATGTTCCTACTAATGAAAATGATGTAGCTGTTAATACAGTACTTACTGGCTGATATAAATACATAATGTATTCATGTTTGCAACAAAGGGTTGTAAGTTTTACTCTTTTCATTTCTAAAATAAATTTTTTTTTCTTTTTACAAATCAAAAACTTACCACTGATAGATTTTTCCTCAATATCAACATAAGTGACTTCAAACTGCTGCTCTGATGCGATTTCTTGCAAGAATTGTACCAAATTTACATCCCCATCATTGAAACAAGTATTCTAAAACAAAATATAGAACATAATTCGTCAAGTTTTTTATTTACACACACATCAATATTTTATCATCAAATTAACGCTCTTGAATAATCATTTTAGCCATGCATATTGAATTACAATTATCGGTATTTGAAAGTATAAATCGATAAAATCTACCGGAAACTTCCTTTTCAGTTCTTTCGCTACAGCAGACATACAGCGCGCGGTATACAATAGGAGTTCAACCGCGACCTACAGTCTGGTTCAAGTGAAGCTTGTTGTAATCATTGCCGATAAGATTTAGTGAGCGCTTTCAGTTCGCTCCGAGCAATTTAAAATGGGCGCTTTTTGTGTTAGCGGACTGAACTAAGTTAAGCGCCTTTAGGCGCCAATAGTAGCAAAAAGGTTACACAGTAGTACTTCGGTGACGTGCCGAATTTTTTCCTCGGTATCATGCCGGGAGTCATCCCCACCAATTCCTAGAAGTGCTTCGCCGAGGCTTTGCGCAAATTGGTGGAAATGACTTTGCGGCAGTCGAGCCTGTGATCGAGCCTACCAGAGATAACAGCCGGCAGTTTTTGGAACATATACTTTCCTTGACATCTTTCCGCTGGCAGAACCGAGAAGCGGAAAGTTAGCGAGACATTACTGTATATTTTCGAACATCAATGGCATGTAAAAAACACTAATTTATTCTGATATATAAATTACGAAACAAAAATCCATATAAAGTTTTTACTTTTAACGTTACAATTTAATATGACTAAAATGAGTACACAGCAGTTTTAATAAAAATACTTATGGTTTTAATACAAAAGTAAGAAAAGAAAAAGAAAAACTATCTTTCTTATCAAATTCATATACAAACCTGCAGTTGGAAAAGCTTAACACCTGTAGATGACTTGAGACTCTTGTGAAATTTTGATACTTGGATACTATGTACTGATGTCAATGTCGAGATTTTGCTACCTTTCAGATCAGCATAACGGGCGCTCACATTTGCATTTCTTTGCACAATCTACAATGAACAATTAACATATATATGTAAAACTCTTTGTTAAATATTTTGCAAAGAATGTTTTATATAGCTACTTCTATATTTATATAGAAATTTATATGAAGTGGATATGACCTAAGCATATAGCATTCTCAAACAAAAAAACAAAAAAAAACTACACTTTAGTATATCAATATATCTGTTATACAATAAAAACATTGTGTTGTTATTCAATTAATGCTCCGTTATAGATTTAAACAGATCGGAAAGATAGCTTATATTTTATCGACTGCCAAATCACTTCCACTTCTCTAATACATACTCATATTCACTCTCACTCTCACTCTCACTCTCACTCTCAATCAATCACTCACTCACTCACTCAATCAATCAATCAATCAATCAATCAATCAATCAATCAATCAATCAATCAATCAATCAATCAATCAATCAATCACTCACTCACTCACTCATTCACACACACACACACACAGACACACACACACACACACACACATACACATACACACACACACACACAACTACGCGCGCGCGCGCCACGTACTTCACACACATACATGCCAATTTATAAAGTTTTTAATTTTTTATTTGAAAATGTCATATTTATCTTAGAAAATATATTACTTGAGATGACCTGATACATACATATATATAGAGAATCCGAAAATTACCTTAGCATCTCTCGTAGGCAAGTAGGAGTAAAACTGAGTCGAAAAGTCCTGAACCATTTTTTCCTATTACATATAATAAAGGAGTAATTATTGAATAAATCAAGCCAATCAGCGCCGACCTTTAGCCGGGCGCACGTCAGTGAGTCGCGCGGAGCGCTCACGCACACCAGGCGCGTGGTTCACTGACGTGCGCACCGCTAAAGGTCGGCGCTGATTGGCTTGATTTATTCAATAATTACTTCTTTATTATTATGTAATAGAAAAAAATAGTTCAGGACATTTGACTCAGTTTTACTCTTGTCTACAAGAGATGCTAAAGTAATTCTTGGATACCCTGTGTATATACATATATGTGTATACATATATGTATATATATATATATGTATGTATATGTGTATATATATA